TAGACAGTGGAGTGAGGAGAATTGATTAGAGATTTTGGGGTTAAAAAAAAAAGCCAAACCTTCTTTATTTTCTGTTAAGATATCTTTGTTTTTATTTCATTATCTAAAATCTTATATTCAAATAAGTTAGTCCAAATTACTCATCCAAATAAGTTTTAGCTACTCAAACTGACTTCTTTGTAAAAACTAATCCAAACATAAATCATTTTATATTACCTGACTTTTATCAATCTGACTTCTGTAAAAATCAGATTACAAAAAAAGTTACTTCTCTGTTATTAATCCAGACACACCCTAAACTTCATGAGCTTCTCTCTCTTTGGTTTGCGTAAATGGATTTGGTGGGTCATAATGCAGAGCCTTTTCTGCTTCAGTCAACCCTCATTAGATTCTCTTGCACCATTTAGTACATCAACGAATTGCTCCTTGTTTAACTTTTTTCCAGTTCACCCTTGGTGGCCTTCAATTTAATGGTTACTTGGTTATTATTTTCGAAACTCATTTAATATTACTGTTACAACGAATTCATAAATTATTGCAGCCATGCATGATATATAACCTGATTTCTTAGCGAACCAGTTTGTAATCCCTTGTCCTTGATACAGAAATTAATTAGAGAGTTGATGTTGATCCTAAATAGAAGACTTATTTTGTATTTTCTTTTTTTTTGAAATTACCCATATTACACAATGAAAACCAGAAGAAAAATAAAAGGAATTAAAGAAGATTATTAAGGCGTTTAAAAAAAATGTCAATTTATTATAATTAACTAACTTACCTAACTTCTTAATATAATCAAATTAGTTAAATAAATCTTACATTAAAACTAGATGAGTATAATATAAGACATAAATAAAGCCATGGATCTCGAGTAAATTTGTCAGTTTATTTGCCTTTCTAGCTGATTAAAAGATTTTTAAGCACATATAATCCTACTTTTTTGGTGAATACATATAATACCGCTTAAACTGTGTGTTTTTTTAAACAACTGTCCAAATATTTCTTCAAATTATGCTCTAAATTAAAATTAATATTCTAAGACATTTATAAAGTCAACATTTTCTTTTGTTTTTTTTCCTCTATGCATAGGTATCCTCTTATTAGAGGCACTAAATATAGACACTTCTTTTAGCTGGATTTGAATTTTGGTTTATCACATTGTGAAGGACTAGCCCCTTCTATTAGACTCAATTTTGTTGGTATATTTTTTTTTCATTATTATATAAACCAGAAAATGTTACAGAAAACCATAAAGACATATAATGGGCCAAACCCAAACCCTAGATCAACACCCAAAACCCAAGAAAAAACCCACGCATCGAAGCCCAAAATGACACCATCATTACAAGCCTTGACCCTAAACCAGGTATACAAAAAGCCAGATCCACCACCACTGCGAGCAAGCCCAAAAGTGAGAAACTTCAGCAGCTATGGTGTCCAAATTGTCTCCCCATCCTGCTATTTTTTTTTCCTTTCAAAATTTATCTCTACCATTAGATCTAAAAATAAATTATTTAGGGTTAATATTTTAAAAAACTATTACTAAGATATTTTATCCATTGAATCTTTTAAATTTGTATACTGCAATTGTAAATTATTTAGTCAAATTTTAACAATTTAAATTTAATTATTTTTATGAAATATTTTAATAATAATTTCTTAAAATATTAAATATCAACTATTTATTTTTTAATCTAATAATGAGATGAGGTACTGAGAGAAAATGAGCGAGTGAGATATTTAGAGAATCTAAAAACATAACTATAGGGAAAACAAGATGAGATTGGCCTCTTTCTTTGGTTGTACTTTCATACGCATTGGTATGAGGAAAACGGAGAGGAGGGAGGAGAAAAATTTTTATGAGTTTAATTCAGAAAAATAGAGAAGTTGGTTTTAAAATTTTAATAAGAAAAATATGTAAGATAAAATAGCAATAAATTCAATTAAAAGCTTTTAACTCCATTTTTTTAATTTTTTAAATTAAACTTATTAAAATTTTCCTTCCCTCCCCTTCCTTCATTTCCCTCTTACCAAATAAACCCTTAATAGTAAATATAGTACTTTTTAAGATTATGAATATAGGATCTCAATTTAATTTACATCCTAAAGTTATAATTTTTTTAACTATACCTATTAATTACATTTATTTTGGTGAGACCTATTACTTAATATTTATCAACGAGAATAATAATTAAATGGGGTATTTTTGAAAAACTAGTAAATATTTACAATAAATAACTAATTTAACTACTTTTTTTAAATATATAAATTAGTTATCGAATTTTATTCAAGATTAAGTGAGTTGTAACTTCTCGGTGTGGGGAAAAAAACAGTAACAATTTCCTTACTCCATGCTTTGTTCTTTTTTCAATGGCCGGATTAGCCCTGTGAGTTAAATCAGTCTCTTATGCGGTATTATTATATATGTATGAAACCAAATGCTAGAAAATCTCATGGCCGGGTAGATTGACTCTCATAACCTAACTTGGAACCATATCTTCAAAATTAAACATTCTTTATTCCCTGGCTCATCAATCAAATGCCACAACCTCAAATAAAACGTGCCCATTTTCTCTGTTTCTTTTTAAGAGCAACACGTTAAGAAGAATCATTGTACTTACTTCATTTTTTTCAAATTTTAATTTTTAATAAAATACCTATGTAAGATTATATTTTTTTGTCGGTTGAAAATCATACACTTAAATGCATAGAAACATTTTTTCCTTCCCGCAGAAGTAGACGGAAGTAGATAACATGCATGTTTGGTTGGGATTTTCAAGGATGAAAAATAGCTTAAATTGGACATAAATCCGATTGTTATGACTTATAACTTTTGAAACATGGATAGAGAAAAGTTAATTAAATTTATTACCTCCTTGGTTCTTATTATAAGCCTAAAATAACTAATTTGTAGATAACAAAAATCAGTTAAAATTAGTTGAAAGTAGTAAATAAGTTAGAAATATATTTTTGTTTTTAAATATGCTCCTAGAAATATTCTTTTATTTTTTAATTTTTCACTTTATATTTAAAATATTTTTTATGATTTCTCTAAAGTTTTAAAATTTAATTCACTTATTAAATTTGACTTCTTCATATTAAATTATTTTAATTATTGTATTATGTGAAATTATTTTTTAATCATGTTTCATTATTTATTAAAAACTCATACTCATTTTGGTCATTTTATGACTAAATTTACTTTTACTCAACTATAATCCAAACAACTCTTTATCAATCTCACTTTTGTAAACTAATTTTTCTAAATTCTAATCCAAACACAATTCAGTTTATTTAATTTAACTTTTACCTAATTTTATTTTTTCATAAACTAAATTGACAATAAGCTATTTTTTTAATCGTTGATTCAAACTGATCCGACGGAACTAAAAAATTAAAAACTCATACTCATTTTGGTCATTTTATGACCAAATTTACTTTTACTCAACTATAATCCAAACAACTCTTTATCAATCTCACTTTGCAAACTAATTTTTCTAAATTCTAATCCAAACACAATTCAGTTTATTTAATTTAACTTTTACCTAATTTTATTTTTTCATAAACTAAATTGACAATAAGCTATTTTTTTAATCGTTGATTCAAACTGATCCGACGGAACTAAAAAATCTTACCACTCATAATTAGCATTAAATAAAAAGAAAAAGTTACGTTGGGAGCTAAACCTCTACCACACAACAACCCAGAGATGCCGTAGGAGTATGAGACTTCTTAATTGTGGTGTTTGCGACCGCCACCTGCTTCTCCCACAGCTTTGTTGCATCTTCCCCAACATTATATACTGTCCTCCTTTCTATCTACATCCTCCTACCTCCTAAATGCTGCCTCATATTTTCCACACACGTTTTGTCACAAAGATGAGTTCAAATCCTTCTAGAGTTGTCTCAAATCCCACGTCATAGGTATGCTTTATGAAAACTAACTAATCAGCTGCAATTTAGAGCGTGTTTAAGTTTGTGTTAAAAATTATCAGTCATAATTTTAACAAAGCACTGAAATTAGAGTTTTGATTATTTTTCAATTTCAACGTGAAACCAAACATATTTTTAGTTCATATGCTCCTATCAAAATCATGATTCAAGTGTTGAGTCCAAAAAAAAAAAATCATGATTCAAGTGGTTTTTGGCATGAGTTTTAAGATTTTTGGTTTAAAGAAGTGATTTTTTCTCATTTTGAGGATGAAGAAGCAATTTTTTTCTATATTTAGTGCATAATAATATTTTAAACAGGATTATTTTAATAAGAAGATACATATATTTTATAAAAAAATGGTCAGGGAAGAAACCATTTTATGCTCACATAATAAATATATAATATACATGGATATGTCCCATGGAAGCAAGGTTTGATAGGACAATATATTAACCTATTATGAATTAGTTCTCAGTGCATCCAAAGTCTATGCTTATCCACTTAAAATTTGGTTGAAATTTTAAAGGATGGTTGAAATACTGACACATCCACCAAGTTAGCTTGCTGGCACTTGTCCTCGTGTACGCCAGTCTTATACTTCGTACGTTCGCCACTTGTCTTCTTGCCAATTGTACCTTTGGGATAAACTCTGAGCATAGCCTTCGAAATTAATGAACACAAAAGAAGTCAGAAAAAGAGAGCTAGTAAGAGAGACAAGTTGCCCGCAACTTATAAATGCTGGACTTAGGCCAAACCATAGCAGAGGAATGGTCCAAAGAAATGATTTCTAGACCCAGATGGGACTCAACAACCACTTCACAGGGTCTCTCCTCTTGCTGCCAAGTGCCACCAAATCAGAAATGGCTTTGTCCTTTTAAAGTTTAAAACTTTACGTGACAGATTGGTACAGAAGTTTGAAACCCTATTAAGTCTTTGGCGTGGCGGATTGATCAAAGTTTTGTACTTGGTTTACCTGGACAACTCTTATTGGCTCACCAGTACCCAGAGATAACACTTACACATAGTAAAATGATAACGGAGCTTCCAAGCCACTTCTAAGTAAACGAAAAAAAACAAAACTGCTTCTATGTGAGATCCAACTCTTCGCTTGAAAATTATCAGTTAATGATCAAGCCAATGCAAAATTGGTGCTGTAATTGGAAATACAGAGGAGATCTAGCCAAGTTAACGTTAAAAAGAACATCAATCAGATAATCTGTAGATTTCTAAGTATGAAAACTCTCTGTGAATCAACCTATCAGAGTAAGTATCATCTGTACAAGATTTTCTTTCCCGGCTCTGTGAGTTTATGTATCAAGATCCTTGCAGTTCCTGAGAGTGCAGGGACCTTGTGGCTGATGATGATCATGATGCAGAGGCTAGTCCTTGGAGCAAATTGATGACTTCAACCGTGTCATCCAGATAATATTTTGCCATGCTTGGCTTCTGACCCACCGTGCAGGCATAGACATGTGTTATGGCTTGTAGGGTCTGATCAGAGGCGGAACGAACAATGCTCTCAAACATATCTTCATCTGACCTATCATCTCCTATGCACAAAAGAAAATCTGGTGCCTTTCCTTTACTCAGCATCGTTGAGATTAGATTCCCCACTACTATGCCTTTGCTCACGCCCTGAAAAAAAATCCCAGAAACATAAAACACATTGCCACATTGAACTCAACTCAACACATTGGATGTTCTCAAGTTGTTTTCAAACCTAGGCACAAAATTAGGACAAACACTTTAGACTAGTTTAAACTGGCTAACATTTATTAATAACAATTCCATACCTGAGGTTTTACTTCAACGATGTGTTGTCCTCTTTTTACTACTACTGGTTCATTGGCTAGCACGCTTTCGAGGTGATCAAGAAGCTCTTTTTCTTGGCAGGATCCGAAATGAGGATCTGCATCTTGGTGGTGCCAAACCAAAGCACTCTCTTTTATTTCAATGAAAGAACCATCGGTTGCTTCTGTATAATGCGCCATCACAGGTTCTACAGCTTTTTTCCACTCAAAATCCATTCCTAACCCACATGTTTCCCAAGGACTATCACTACTCCACCTGATAGACCATAATAAATAAGTAAATCACAGTACAGAATCATTGAGAAATGAACACACATTAATAGACGGATTGCGTAATGTATGTTCTAGGTACCTGGTGAAGAAGCCATGTTCTGCTGAGAGGCCCAACCTCTCGCATGGAGAAAACCACTTGCTGAGACAATTCTTATCTCTGCCACTTACTATAAACACTACGTTTCTGGGGTCACCACATAAACGATTCAACACAGAAATAACCTCTTCGTTTGGGGTTTTGTCTACCGAAACCTGGGGCATCATAGTACCATCGTAGTCTAAAAGGATCAACCTGCTGTGTGTGTTTCTATACGAAGATAGAATGCCTTCTGCTGAAAGCTTCCTGAACGTAGGATCAAGAGCGACGACTCTAAACCCCAGGCCAAAACCAAAACCCCAACACCTTTTATGATAATGCTCTCTACAAGCCCTCTCTAAATCCTGATCAAAACTCCTGGCCCAGTAGGCTACATCATGCGAGCTTATGTACTTGTAATGCTTTTCGTGACGCAATTGTTTCTCTTCATCTGACATCGTAATCGCCGAATTCATAGCCTCTGCGACGTCTTCGATGTTCCATGGGTTCACTCTGATTGCTCCGCTCAGAGACGGGGAACAACCAATGAATTCAGACACTATGATGACGCTTCGTTTAGGACTCGTGGAATCATTTGCTTCGATTCCCTGTCTACAAACAGTGTACTTATAAGGAACTAAATTCATACCATCTCTCACAGCATTCACAAGGCAGCATTCGGAAATGGCATAGTACGATGCTTTCTCCTGCGTCGAAACAGGGCCGTTAATGAACACGATTGGCTGGTATCCAGGTTCGCCGTATTTGTCATTGATCTCATTCGCGATGGAATTGGTTTCATTCTGAACATCTTGAATGTCTTTCCCACTGCTTCTTGCTGGGTTCAGAATCTGGACTAGAACTACTTTACCCCTTAAATCTTCGTGAAGTTCCAGGAGTTGTCCCATAGCCAGTAACTTCAAGCTTAAACCTTGAACAAATCCATGTCGTCCACTCCCAAAATAACGATCTTCCCCCCATATTGTTTCTTCAATTCTTTGATCCTATCTCCAGTATGAGATAACGACAACAACGATTGGAGCTGACCCATGTGAATCCCTACCGGCAAGATCTTGATCGTCACTGTACGACCGTAATAATCTAGCCCAATGTAACCCCTCTTCGACTCATAATCCAACCCCAGCATTCTACTGCAACAGGACAAGAAATGTCTGGCGTAATCAAACGTGTGGAAACCGACCAAATCGCAATTTAACAAAGCCCGAAGGATATCATCACGAACTGGAATTGTTCTGTAGATTTCAGAAGACGGAAATGGGCTGTGAAGGAAAAATCCGAGTTTGACCCTGTGAAAACGTCTTCTCAATAAGGTAGGCAAGATCATGAGATGATAATCGTGAATCCAAACGTAATCCTCCTCTGGGTTTATGACCTCCGTCACCTTATCGGCGAAAATCTTGTTGGCGTAAACGTAAGCTTTCCACTGCGAGCGTTCGAAACGGGCACCGTGACTCGGCGACATAGGTAACATGTAGTGAAACAGAGGCCAGAGGTAATGCTTGCAGAATCCATGGTAGAACTTGTTCTGAATCTCGAGGGGTAAAAACGCAGGCACGCATCGGAACTTTTCGAGCAATATTTGGGACACTTCTTCCTGTTCCGATGGATCGATGTCGGCTTTCAACGAACCCACATAGATGACTTCGACGTCGGAAGGAAGCCCGTCTTTGAGCTGCAGATAGAGACTATCACTATCCAATTCGAAACTCAACTTTCTGGTTTCGTTGTCACGAAACGATTTTATCGGCAACTGATTGGTGACGATGATTCTGCGTTCTTGCGGAACAGAGGAGACGATATCGTCGGAACCCGCACCCGAATCGGCATCATCCCGGCCTTCGAATCTAGGCACAACTCCGGGGAGCATCACGTCGTTTGGGATCCGGCTCAGAGTTCGGTAATCATCGACGGAGACCAAATTCAATAAGTCCAAGCAAGATCTCGAGAGCATTATCCGAAATGAAAAATGTAATCTTTTTTCGCAAGAAAGGAACTAATTGGGGTTGACGAAGAAAGAGAAAGGATCGGAATTTTCCAGGCTTGGGTAAGGGCGGAAATTATAGGAGCGTATTGCAGAGAAACATGAATCTTTGAGCGAGAGGAATCCAAGATAGTGATACAAATTCCATAACAACGAGCTGTGTCTTTAAAAGAAACCAAATAGTAGTAATTACTACTAGGAAGCGGATAAGAACGAAGAAGAGACCGACCGGGGATTATATATGAGGTACGTGATGAATGAAACGGACGGTCCAGATTGATTCCAGTTACGATCGTTTTTAAAATATAATATAATATAATTATTATAAACCTGAAACTCTCCCCGTTACTCTCCCCGTTTATCCTTCATTTGAAGTTTGTATTTTGTAATATATGTTTTTCGGTTGGCCCCAAAAAACACCGGATATTGTTTACCGGTTATAGCCGGTGGGGGGGGGATTGTACATTTGTATCTAAGAAAATAAAAGGGAAATTTCAAAAGATCACGTGATTTTTACGCTTGGACAGATTTTTCTTCGTAATGATTCAAGATTTTAACGTGATTCCAATTTGAAAATAAAAATTAAATGCCGACCTCGAAGTTTGAACAAATACTGTGTTTTCGGTACATTTACTTTAACCTCTTTTTTGCCCTTTTAAATCAGCCCATAAATCATTAAACAAAACTGAACCCCACCCCTTATTCAACGAAAATAAAGGTCATTAGGTTGAAAAAAAAAAGGAAAGTCATTAGGAATATAAATATGGAAGTAAAATACATGGCATTTAGTTGTAATTATAAAATATCTAAAAACACCTTTGTATACTTCAATTTCTTAAAATATTCAATTAGTATTGTTTGACAAATAATATTATTGGGAAAGGTGATTTTTGAAATCCAAATATTATAAAATTCAGATTTAGATTATTGGTAAGAAAAGGAAGAATTAATACTACTATTTAAGAGGATTCTTATGAATTTTAAGGAAAAGATTTAATTATTAAAAAATTTTAATAACAACATGTTAATGACAATGCTACTAAATTATTGTCAGATTTTTTATTTATTAAAGCCCTTTTTTCTTAGAATCTACTCCTAATACTTTATTATAAATCATAAACTACGGAAAACGGTATACATTTTGTTTATAATAAGAACAAATACGTAATAATTTATTTTTCTTTTAGGGGAGGCAGACACGTGTGGAATGATGCAAGTAGGTAACAGAAGAACAGGAGCACTCGGTCACGAAGGGGATGGGTGTTCACACAGGTGGCGCAGGCTTCCTGCTAAGACCGTTTCTCTGTCTCTCTCTCTCTCTCTCTCTCTCTCACAAAGATTGTCTTCTCATATCTCTCTCACGGTTTTCAGTCCAAAAAAAATTTTATGTGTATATATATATATATCTCTCTCTCTCTCACGGTTTTCAGTCAAAAAAAAATTATGTATATATATTTCTCATATTTGCTGCTGTCCTGCTGAGCTGTGATGAATAATATGGGAGCTGTTGGTAAGGCCGTGAGTTCTAGAAAGTGTCCGCGTGGACCTCTCATAAAGGGTACGTGGCGTGTGGAATTCGTCTCCGCCCCGTGTCACGGACCTCTTTGACTGCTGACCTGGCACCGTTGTACCACCCCTTTTTTGCCACCTCATCCTCCTCACTATTTTTGCCCCCATTGTCTTCTTATAATCTTATTTATCTCCTCACATGTTGCTCCTTTAACAGATGTGCGCTAATGGGATCAACCTTATCTAACCCACATCACTTCATCAAAGCATGTCACTCATGAAATAAAGAAAATAACCTATTAGAAGTTAGTTAGAAAGTTAATTTTAATTTTTAATGAGTTAATATAAATTTGGTCTTTTAAGTTTCTCTTTCTTTTAGTTTTGGTCTTTGAAATTTTAAACTATAGATCACTCAAATTTCTTTTCATTTAAAATAGTAGTTCATATAATTATTTTTATAAAAATTTGAATAATTTAGCTTCTCCAGGAATCAAAACCTATGATTTGAAATTTAAGAAATTAAAATAAAAAGGAGAACAAATTTGATAGATCAAAAATTATAATAACCTATTTTTAATATAAGATCTTAATCAATTATATCTCTCATGTCCATACTTAATATGTTCAAGTTATCTAAGTAACCCGAGAAATATTAGTTATTTTTAGCAATTTTGATTGCACGTAAATACAAAAAAAAAAAGGTTCAGATTTAGTTGATATCAATAATAATAACTCGTACGTAAAGGAGGGGCAGAGGCATACAGGATCCATTCAAACTTCTATGTGAGTGGGAATCGCCTATGGCTTGCTGGTAAAATCGTGTGTTGACATTTTAAAATTATAGTTAATACATAAAATTAAACAAAAAGGTTTTGAACTTGATTTGATACGTACTCTCCTCCTACCCATACTCTCCCCTACATGTGTCAACTTTAAAATACTTTATTGCTAAGGTATCATGATTGGTATTTTTATATTAAGTGGTATGAAATTCTCTAAGTGTATCATGACGAGGTATATATAATACATCTTTCTTATTTTATAATCAACTTTTGGCTATTTTTATATTTAGGTTATTTTGTAGTTTAAAATGAATTAGAACTTATCTTTTGGGGGGGGGGGATCTTTTTTCCCAGACAACTTCCAAATTCTCAAGCAACAAATTGAAAGAGCCGCTAGTGAGGATAATTGGCAACAACCATGACTGATCCCCCCGAGAGAAAATCAAAGCCACAGCCAGTCTAAAGAAAATCCCACAGGACGGGCCATAAGGTTGGAGCTCTAAGGTAAAGGCCCCAAGAATATTCCTTCTCTCGACTCCTTTTTTTTATATTATTAATACCTTAAATTAATAATTGTAAATATACATGATTTTGGTGTATTAATTTTATTATCAAATCAACAAGATATTTTATAACAAAACCAAAAGGTCACCTGTTAACTCGATCATTTAAGCAAAAAATTCCATGCCACCAGCAAATCAAATTAAAATCCAGCAAAGGAAAATTATAAATCCAGTTCACATAAAACCTTTCATCTATATTTTTCATTTAATTTAATATATGGTTGTGTCACACACAATATCCAAACTTGTATATTTTCAGGAGAACATTATATTGCTAATAAATACTAGTTACTCTAAGTCAGAAAATTTGTTTCCAATCGATTTAAGTTGCCCATTTTACCCTCATTAAGAAATATGATTGAAAAATTCTCTTTCATCTCATATCTCTTGCATCTAAAACCCTCTTTACTCCTTGTAACTAAGGTTAAAGATAAGAAACCATAATTAATTATTTTATCAACTCATTTTTTATATCAAAATTTTTTTAACCAACTTGTTAGAGGAGATCGGAGGGAGAATCGTGTGCTTGTGGAACCTTCGTATTTCACGAATATAATAGAGAGACAGGGACTGGGGAGGGCACGTCACGTGAGTGTGTGGGGTTGGATGAATGCCGCGTTGGATAGATAGGGACTCATTCATTGCGGAGGCTCAGGCGTCAGGGGATGGGGCTGGAGGGGGGCCCACTGAAAAGGCTACGTGGCCAGGATGGGCCCCACTTTATCTAAACGGAAAGATGGCGCCGGGTTTTTAAATGCCTCCATGAGTTCCGTATATATACGCGGGGCCCACCTACTGGGATTACACCGATTTTTGTGCCCCTTTTCTTCGCCCCCATCGTTTGTCCCCTACGCTCCTCAAAAAAAATTTTTAAAATAAAAAACTTCCCTTCCCTCAACTTTAATTGATATTTTAGCGATTATTTTCGTTCCATTTTAACCATGGCTTCAATTGGGCTTATTTTTAATTATATTCTTAATAAACACCTAATGTGTAGCTTTTGTATACTGTGCTTTTTTTTTTCTTGGCAGCTGCATTTTCTTCCAAATTATTTCCAGTTCTGATGCATTTATGATATTACTCCCTCTAATTTGTAACAATTAGTTAAAATTTATTGCAAAAAGAAATATTAGTTAAGTTATTAAATTTGTTTCAAATTGATAAAAGTTACTCATTTTACTATTATTAAATAATGTGATTGGAAAATTCTTTTTCATCTCTCTTTTTCTACATTTAAAACTCTCACTCCTTTTTGTAATAAGTGTTAAAAGTAAAGGACTATTATTAATTACTCTGTTAACCTCTTATATTTTGGATCCAATTTTTTTTCTAACCAACTTCTTATTTTTTGGACCGTATGAAGTGTTTTTTTATAACCAACATGATTTTAATGAAAAAAATTAAACTTATAATCTCGTACTTAAAAGTCAAGTAAGGAAGGCATTAGATGTTATTGAATTATTTCTTAAGAAATCCCATTTTTATAATAAGAAAAAATTCCTTACCTTGGGACCCACACTTTAGAAAAGAATGGTAGGAGGATAATTTGGTATATATTCTGCCTATAATCACTGTCATTCTTATTTAATTTAAATTTGATAACCTCGTCTTTTATATTCAATACTATTCAATAATTTAAATTTGAGTCACTAATAAAAAAACAATTCGTATTGATATTTAATTTATCCTTTTTGTTGGAAAAATGTTTTAATATTTTGTTCACATTGATGGCGACAAACAAAAAGTTTTGGATGTGATGTTACGGAGCATGGATTATGCTTCCCCACCGATTTTAGAATTTGAAGCATGCTCTTCGTCACATTTCTGATAAATATTATATAGATTCCGTAAAGATAGAATTTACACATGATCTTTTTTTTTTCCTTGTTGAATTTAACATGCTTTCACACTACTTTACCACAAATTGTATATTCGGTATTTTAAAACATCACGTAATTAAATTAAAGAGTAGGACATACGGAAATTATTATGGCCACTGTGTTTGAAAAGAATTATCTTGAGTGTTGTGTACTTTTTTTGTCTGCCAAAGAATAAATATTTGAGAAAATTAATCCACTACTCCTAGTAGTTTATCTCACTTTTGAATTAAATCTTGTAGTTTATTTTATTTAGATTGGATTTAGATTATTTGGTCTTGTAATTTTAATTTACAGTTTCGATGACACTTTATCTATAAAAATCCATTAGTCTTACAACAGTTTTAAACAAAAGGAAAGAAACTTTACAGAGTCTATGAAAATTCTACAAGTTAAAACCAATAGGTCCTCTAGCCGAGGATGAATGCCCATATGATGAATCAAACTAT